TTCAGACGTGTGCTCTTCCGATCTCCCCAAAACCCCAAAACCCCAAAACCCCAATTGCCATTAATGAGTGGTTTTTAACGAGAATCTTGAGTAGAAATAAATGTGAAAAGCTGGTAAGTTTCTAAGTCATTATATCATAAGCTGATGTATATCTGATGTTCCTTTTGTATTTGAGTAATTAATGCTACTCTTCAGTCTCTTTTACCTACCCATGAATGAACTAGGAGTTTAAGAAGTCATCGGCCTAATCCTTCCTGCCTGATTGCTAGTGCTTCTTGTATTAGCCGAGGAAGGATTGTTTGACTGATTTATTGCAGACAATTAGTTAATTTATAGAGCACTATTTCCTCTACCTTTAGCTGAAAGAGGTAGCCTTGAAATTGTATATTTAGAGTTAGCTGGAAAGGTATCGATACCTCTATATTAAAATTTATGCATAGAAAATATACTTTAAACCTTTTTTATGCGCAAAGAGATTAGAAAATTTATTGATTATAGAGTCTTTGTTGAATTGATAATCATTGGAAGAGGATACACCTAGAATCTGGGGCGTGAGTCCCCTGGTGTTTTGCGAATATCTGTCAGATTCAAGCCCATCCAAAAATTTGTTGTCAGATATAGTCTTAAATCCCACTAAATTCATGTTGCTATCTAAATTATTTGGCGTCTAGACGGCTGTGGTTAAACCATTATGCATGTATCTCAGGATATCTTCATTTAGCACAAGCAACTCAATGATTTTCATTTTGTCTGATTGCTGGAAAAGCTCAAAACTACCCATATTAATTAAGGTGTTGGTTGATGATAAGCTCTTATTCCTCTTTTAGCCAGAGAATGGCTGAGTGCTTATTTACTGTATTCTTCTCTTGTCTAGTTCTTTTTTGACAGTGTCTACACACTCAATAAATATTTTTGATATCTAGCTGAGCTAAGCAGATGTTTCGCCTTGCTGGTTTTTCTGCTTTTTGTATTCCTTTTCAATAATCTCATTTCTACTTTTTAATCTGAGGATTTTAGATTGCAACTCATCAAATTTCTTATCCACAACACTAGCTATGTCGTAGGAGAGTCTTTCTCTTTCCAATAAATTAGATTAGTCAATTATTTTGCGGATAACATCGTAGCTGGTAAGTTCATCAGTCCATTTAAAATGCTCTAGCCTTTCAGATGGACTTTACCTCTCAGAGTTTTCAGTTAAATTTTAAAGAGCAAGTGCTGTTCCTCCATTAGGTGTTTAAGTCATAAATCTTCCGTCCTTAGTGAATTAAAGTAGCTATGAGCAATTATCTTGAGTTTTTCCAAGAGCCATTTTTAGAAGCTTGCTCTATCTCTTCTATTTTGTTATTTAGATCATTAAAAATTATTTCTCCTCCTCAAGACCTTCATTTTTCTGTCTCAGAGACTCTGCTTCCCTTGTACATTATTTATTAAGCTTTGATAGACTTAGAGCTTCACTTCTGAACCATTCAAGTTACTTTTCCAATGATTGAATTCTTTCATCTTTTCTTAGCTGAAATTCTTGCTCATTGCATTTCCTTTTTAATGCTTCGAGTTCTTTGGAAATCTTGAGCATATGTCCCTAATTTAATTAGCTTAATGCAATCAATATATCTTACATGATAAGCAGCTGTGAAGTCTTTCTCATGCTTGATCATTATGCCATCAATCTTATCATCCAGATTTTAAATAACTTCATTGATCTCTGAATGCAGCAATTTATAGTCATTATTTGCTGACTGATTTACTAAGATAGGGTTAAATGCGAGAAAAGTGGAATTAATGCATACATCTCTAATTATTGTTTTCTTAAGATGTTAAGTTTTATTTGACTCCAGTAATAAAAGTCATGTTTTCTTCAGAGTTAAGATTAATATGAAACTTGCTGTCTTGAGCTGTATTGATATTCTAATTGACACTTGAAATTGGCTCAATAAAGTAAGACAGCTGTTTCAGATCACTTTTATTTTATCTCAATTCTTATTTCATTTTATTAACTGTGAAAATTAAAGTTAAACATTAATCTATTAAAATTATTATCGAAAAAAACAATGAGTATTGATCAGTTAGTATTATCTGATCATAGTTTAATATTTAGGTAAAGTTTCAATTTGATTTGTAATATAATATTCAAATTCTGATAAAATCACCTCCGAAACATTCTCAATGAACGCAAATCAATCCGTTGTATCAAACGAAAATGCTGCCCCTAATCATATTTAGCTCTCAAATGGGAAGTCAGCATTTACCCCCTTTATTTAAAAACCTGTTCCACAAAGGCTTTCACCAATAAATCTCTTTGAACCATCACCAATTCAAAAATTCTTGTACTTTACTGCCCTTGCACAGCAACACCAAGAGGCTGCAAGCAAGGTCTTAAATAAAGTCCTAACTCCTAATAAACAAGTTACTCCTTCTAATTTCCTCAGAATTGGGGCTTTCAACGATATGATGACCCCGAAGATGTTGAAGTCAGAGAGTTTTCAGCAGTAATAATAGCAGTATCTTGGAAATGGTCCTCGTGGCTTTAGCTATGATGTGATCATTCCCCAAAAGTCAATGCTAAACTCTTCTCCTCTGGATGAGGGTATGAACACTGATGGATCCGCAGATCTTGATAAAGACATGGAATCAACTGATTACAGTAGTCAAGAAAAGCAGGACCAGCTGGAAAAAGCAGGGCATCGAGAATCAGAAAAATCGAAAAAGAGGAGGCCATTAGAAATTAATGGTATTATCATTGATAACTTCCTAGCTTCTGATGACTTGAATGAGTGCGTAGATTTCCTGTTGAGGAAAGATAAGGGAGATTTGACTCTTAAAAACGAACATCAAAAGGTTATAAGACACAATGCTTTCGGAAAATCTAAAGATAAGAAGAAGCGTCAAAGAAAAAATCTGGACCAGCACTCCATCCTCTCAGAATACTTCGATAGGAATCCTAATTGGGATAAATAAACTATTCAGAAGCTTTCTGATATCCTTGGCTTGAAGGAAAGCCAAATATATAAGTGGAATTGGGACCAAAGAAAAAAATTCAACATGGAAGACTGATTTCTCCTAAATAATCATATTCCTGTATGTGTACATTTAAGTTAAGAAAATTTGAAAGAGGGTTGTTAGAGGAAGATTCCATTCAATCTTTCCACTCACTAACTTATCTACTAAATATATATCTCTAATCTAGAGTACTTTTATTAATTTTCAATACTTTAAATTTACATCTGTCTCAGAATTAATCATACACTCCTCATGGGGTTTTGGGGTTTTGGGGTTTTGGGGTTTTGGGG